CACCCAGCCAGCTGACCCCACACTGCTGCCCATCCACCCAGCCAGTCGACCCCACACCCAGCCCAGCCCACACCCAGCCAGCGAACCCCATACCCAGCCCACCCCACACCGCTGCCCATCCACCCAGCCCACCCCACACCCAGCCCACCCCACACCAACGCCTGTCCACCCGAACAAGCCGCTCCAGGAGGCTGGACGGCCAGGGCCGCCCAGGTCAGCCTGTGCCTGGAGGGCGATGGGGCTTCCCAAGCTTCCCCTGTCCCCCACAGCCTTGGAGTCCAGGTCCAGGCTGCGCTCTCAGCACTCGGCCTGAGCTCGGGTGCCTCAGGCAGGCCTTTCATTCAGGAGATAAGAGTTGGCATTTTACTAGGCTGGGCTCAGACTCCTCAACACCAATGGTCCCCCTGCCTCAGCTTCCCGAGCAGCCGAACTACAGCTGGAGTCCATTTGTTCCCCAAACCTCCCTTTTTGGTTTGGTTTGGTTTGGTTTGGTTTGGTTTAGTCTGTTTTTCTGGGAGTGCTTGCCCAGCCTGGGTCTTTATCTCCACGTCCACAACCCAGCGGTGGCCCAGGCTGGCCCAGGGGAGCCACCACTGCATGGAGGCCCTTTTGCCTCCTTTCCTGTTCCTTGCCCTGGCCTCTACGTTGTGGGAACACACTCGTGAGCTCCCGCCCGCACCTCGGTTTGAGCCACCTCCTCTTGTGAGGCCCCACCCCCGCTGATGAGACCCCACCCTGCCGCCTCTGGCCAGAAAGCCTTTTTTTCTGCGTTACCGTGGATTTCAAAATCCCCCAAAGTCTGTGTGGTGACTCCCATCTGCAGTTTGGTGCTAGTGGGAGACGGTGGGAAGAGGGGACCGGAGGAGGGAGTGTTCCCACGCTGGAGGGGCCCGCCCCCATTCCTGCCACGCCCACACACACCGTCCTGCCCGGTCTGTCTCTCCTTTACTGAAAGCCATGAGGCCTGTGGCTTTGCACCAGCTGTGAACCAAACAGCCCTTCTGTCTGGATTTTTATGGTAACACACGCTGACTGGCATGCCTAGTGAGCTGCCCCCGCAGCTTGCACGCCTCGCCACAGCACAGGTCACCGCAGGCGCCTGCGTGCTTGGGGAGGTCAGAGCCCTGCTGCGGCGTCCTGGGGTGGCAAGCGCCCGTGCTCCAGGAGGCTAAAGCCTGGGGGGAGACCGCAGAGCAGGGGGTGAGAGCTGGGCCCAGCCCTCCCAGCGCCCCAACACTCCTCCCGTTCCCTCAGCCAAGCGCCTCTCTTCCTCACTATGCTAGTGCCCTGAGGAGAAAGACCTGTTTTTCTTTTCTTTAAAAAATTCTTCATGGCTCATAGAATTGTATGCAGTGAACAAATGGCCATGGCCAGGGACCATCAAAGATGGCAGTCACGGTCAGAACTTAAGAATCTTCTTCCGTCTAGATCCAGCCTATCACGGTGGAGTTCTGAGAGTGAAAATGGTTCCCCTCTCCTTCTCTCTCCTCCCCCTTCTCCCTCCCTCCTCTCTCTCCCTCCCACTTCTTTCATGACTATTCTTTCTTTTCTTTAAGTCACGATGTTACTATGTCTGTGTCTCTGGCCACAGACTGCCCTGCTCCTGCCTCCGCTCCCGAGTGCTGGGGTTACAGGCGTGGGCCACAACACTCGGGTTTTCCACCTTTTCCATCTCAAACAATTTCACCCTTCCCCACCGACCCTCCTACGCCTCTCTCACAACTGCCATTCTGTAAACCCTGTCCAGCTCCTTCTGGATCTCTGCCCTCAAAAAGCAAAGGTCCAACCCGGGGCGGGGGGGGGGGGGGGGCTGTGATCCCAGCACTCAGGAGACAGAGGCAGGTGGATCTCTCTGAGTTTGAGGCAGCCTGGTCTACAGAGTGAATCCAGGACAGCCAGGTATACACAGAGAGACCCTGTCTTGAAAAACAAAGCAAAAAACAAAGCATAGGTCCCACACTGTTTCCCACAGCTCAGGGCCCACAGTGTCCCCACAGTGAGCGCTGGACACGTACACCCCCTCCCCACTCACCGGGCAATGTCGGCGTCAAAAGAGGAGACAGGGGGGTTGAGGCGCTGGTAGCGGCGGATGAACGAGTCCTTGTTGATCTCCCAGATCTCCCGGTACATGTCCCACGTCTTGAGGTAGTTCTGCAGCAGAGCTGCGTTGTTGGCCATGCCGCTGCTGATCTGGGCCTGGATCTTCTTGATGTCCTCGTCCCGCTCTGCAGGGGGCCGAGAGACGGGAGGTGCGTCTCAGCGATCCCTACCGGGCGCAGCCTGGCCCCGGCACTGGCCGGGACCTCCCAGCCACTGGTCTCCATAAATACATGTTTCAGACATGAGCATCAGAAAGCAGCGGGGAGGGCTGGAGAGATGGCTGCGTGGTTAGGAGGAGCAGGGTTCGATTCCCAGCACTCACACGGAGGCTCAGCCATCTGAAACGTCAGGTCTAGGGCACACAAGGCTTCCCCCGCCTTGGTGGGCCCCAGGCCCACCTGTGGCGCACAGGCCTGCATTCAGGCAAAACACCTGTACACACAAAGTAAAATCAATCTCTAAAAATAAATAAAAGAGCTGCGCGGTGATTAGCACACCTTTAATCCTGGGGCTCGGAAGGTGGAGGCAGGTGGATCTCAAGAGTGCGAGGTCGGCCAAGTGCCCAGGGCTACACGGAGAAGCCCTGACTCCAGAAAAAGAAGAGTGAGAGGAAGGAAGGAAGCAAGCGGAGGAGGCAGCAAGGGTCTGCCCCCGCCCCTGCTGTGGGAATCAAGGCCTCTTCTAGCCCAACACGAGTCTCGAACTCTTCCTTGCGCATCTCCCAGCCCAGAGTCCACACCACCGGTATCCTAGCAGTAAGCCCCTCCCCGCCTGCTCCTTCCTCAGCCTGGCCTCTGGGCCGAGCTTCCCATGAGCCACAGCGGCGCCAGGCCCAGTGGGAGGGAAACGCCGTGCTCGCTCCCAAGCGCCCGCCCACTCACCCACGAGGACGTGGATGGGTTCGCGAGTCATCTTTCGCTTCATGAGGATGTCGGGGAGGTGGCGGAAGACAGAGATAGTGGAGAAGAGGTGGCCGCCCGTGTCGTTGACCACGCTGGCCAGGGTCTGCAGAGTCGGGGAGAACTCCACCTGGGAAGCACAGGCCAGCTCAGCGCGGCTCTGGGGAGCCCGGCCTCCAGGCCTCCAAGGCTGCAGGCGCAGGGGACAGTCAGGCGAAAGAGGGCCGCGGTCGGCAGCACTGCGGCTCCGAGACCGGTCCCTGGCACCCCATGGTGGCCCACCAGCGCCGAAACTCACTTCTGAAGGACCCGTGGCCCTCCCCCAGCCCTGCAGACACCGGGCGCACACGTGGTAGCCAGCCACACACGCAGGCAAAACGCCCGTGCATATTTAAGAAACGAAGAATTGAGAGAAAGCAGCAACTGAGAGCGGGCGCAAGGCCCAGGAATGGCGGTTTAACCCTTAAATGATTGCTTAGGGCTGAGTGGTCAGCCCTGAAGGCCTGAAATTGCAAACAACACAGAACAGACTCAGCAGGTTATAGTCTGTGTGTGTATACACAGATAATTAAAGAAAAACGGTAGTGAATTTGAGAGAGAGCTAGTGGGGACATGGAAGGTGCTGACTGGGGAGAGGAAAGTGGAGAACTGATGCGATTATATATTCTAACTTTTAAAATTAATATTTAAAAATATAATCGGGAGGGCTGGAGAGATGGCTCAGCGGCTAAGAGCACTGGCCGCCCTTCCAGAGGCCCTGAGTTCGGTTCCCAGCTCCCACCGGCAGCTACGACCATCTGTGATGGGGCCTGATGCCCTCTTCTGGCCTGCATGCGTGCACACAGACAAAGCACTCACACCTAAGTAGATAAAATTAAATATCCATAGTAATTGAGATAAACTGAAAACTAAGGTATGAGTTTGAGGTGTCCGGGGCTCGGGGCCCTTACCTGCGCCACCTCGCCCTGCAGATCATTCTGTAGGATGACAAGGACCCGGAAAAGTGGGTTCGGCGTGGTCTTCCCGTCCCCGTTGATGGCCTTGGAGAGCTCCAGCAGGGACCACTTCACGTTCGTGCGCAGGGCGTCTTCCATCATGCGGTCCAGACGGACGGTGTAGAACATCCACTGTTGCTGGATCTGGGGGATGAGGGGACAAGCGCCGGCCGGTGGGGGGAGCGCGGGGGGGATGAGGGGACAAGCGCCGGCCGGTGGGGGGAGCGCGGGGCGGCTCGGAGGGCAGGTGGCGCCCCCAGCCGGTGGGAGGAGCTCAGGGCGGCTCGGAGGGCAGGTGGCGCCCCAGCCGGTGGGAGAGCAGCTGGCACCGCTCTGGCCACCAAGGGCAGCAGGCACACACGGGGTGCCCCTACAAGCGGGCAAAGGCTTGGACAGAGAAACAAATCCTCCAAGTGAGCAAGGGTGCTGCAGGAGGAGACCTGGACACTGAGGGTGACCTGAGGTTGGACCAGGGCAGGACACCTGGAAAACACGCGCTGGAGAGAGGGCCCGGAGAGGGGCCGTGTGCCAGGAGGGTGAGTAGTCTCCCTACCACAAAAGCCACCTTGGGCCCGGATGCCCACCTCAGGGCCGTCGTTCTTGAACACCTCGTAGGAGTTGGCCATGATGTTCACCACGTCCTGGTGCAGGCTCACCAGCTTCTGCTGGACGGCCAGCCGGTGCTCCCTCTGGGCCTCCTCAAACTCCAGGTCCCTGTACACCTGCTTGCCCGTGATGCGCACCAGCAGCATCTCCGACATCTCCTGGGCCTTCCAGCTGATGGTCAGTGTGGCCGCCTTGAAGTCATTCACAATCATCTGCACCTAGAGCCAGGCGTGGCGGCGCCTTCTAACCCCCGGAGTGTGCAGGCACCCCACCCTCCCCACGAGGACCCTCTGCTCCCGCGCCGCCTCCGGCCAGAGTTTCTGATGTTAAAAAACAAAAATCCTTCCCTTTCGGCGGGGAAATACGTCCACAGCAGGCAAAGGTCCGGGAGCTTTGGGGGTGGCTCCTCCCCAGCGGTTAGTCTATCTCCTAAACACCTCTGGGCTCTCCTCCATCTCCAAAGATTGAGGTGTGGGTGAGGCGCCTCTCGGCAGCCCCCTGGAGCTGGCACGTGCCGGCCCAGGCCTACCTTGCTGGCGTGGATGCGGCACTCTGTGATGAAGAACGCGCTGGCTCCCTTCAGGGCCCAATGCAGCTTCTTCAGCCCCGGGTGGATCTTCTTATCCAGGAAGCGGATCCGCTCCTTGAACAGGGCCTGTTCGTCTGGGGACAGCATGGCAATGATCCTGTGTGTGAGGGAACGCGCTGGTGAGCCGGGAGAGAAAGCTGCGAGGGCCTCTCCTCCTGCCAGCAAACTTGGCAGTCTCCGGGCTCGCAACGCTAGCCTGGGGCTCCCGCTCTCTAAAGAAACCTCGATAATTCGAGTGTTAGCTGGAGCGTGCCGGCCGGGGCCGGTGAGTGGGTCAGTGTAACAGGCACTTGCCATGAAGTCTGATGAGCTGAGTTCAATTCCTGGGACCCTTCCATGGCGGAAGGGGAGAACTGACTTCTGCAGGATGTCCTCTGAGCCCCGCATGCACACCAGGGCTGGAGGGATGGGTCAGTGGTTAAGAGCGCTTGTTTTTGCTTAGGACCCTGGTTCAGTTCCCAGCCCCTGCACGGCCTCTCACGACCGCCTGTGCTCCCAGGGGCTCTGACATGTTCTGGCCTCCTTAGGGACCAGGCCTGTGCGTGGTGCCTGGAGAAAGGACCCACGCGAAAGAGAGAAACGCAAATGTGAAGCATGCCTCCCGCTGCCAGCCAAGTGGGTCACACTGCACGCAGCCTTCCCAGACATTCACACCAAGCATGTGTCCCCGCCCCCGACCATCCCGAGGTGAGGAGGGCTGTAACACCGTGTCTTGCGGAGCTGGCTAGAACATGGCGCGTGAAGCTGTCGTGGATGGGACTGGCACCTTGAGTGAGAGGCCTAGTACAGCTCCGCCTCATTGGAGCAGGGAAGACACCGCACAGGTGGCTGCTTAGAAACCAGGTGGTGTCACCTGACTCCAGTGTGCCCTACCGTGGTCTTGAACTTCCCAAGCTTCCAGAATGTGAGCAGTGGATTTGGTTCTTTCTTTTCTCTCCCCCGTCCCGTCCCCACTGCCAGACAGGGTCTCTCTGTGTAGCCCTGGCTGTCCTGACTCCCTTCGTAGACCAGGCTGGCCTGGAACTCACAGAGGTAGGCCTGCCTCTGCCTCCCCGAGAGTGCTGGGATGGCAGGCCTGCCTGCGCCACTGGTGAATTCGGTTCTTTCTTAGCCGCCCATCGCCGGAGGGGAGAGGCCTGACTGCGGGCCGCGGAGGACGCCCCACCTGTTGTAGTCCCGGGCGACCAGCAGCAGGTTCTCGCGGAGGATGCGCAGGTCCTCGGCGCGCTCGGCCACGGTCATCACGTAGTGGGGCGTCTCGAACAGCAGCCGCTCCCAGTAGTCGATCTCCACGAAGAGAACCAGGAGCGACCTGAGAGAGACGGGGGCGCTGAGGACTGTGGGAGTCGGTGCGCCAAGGGGATGTTTTGACAGGCACAGAGCAGGTCTTCCCCGGTGGCCGCGGCAGGCCCAGGGCCTGGGCCAGGCGCCAGCCGCCACAGCCCGAAACCACCCGGCGCTCGGAGAGCCCCGGATGCAGCTCCAAGGACGCCCCTAGGACAGGCGCGGAAACTGAGACCCCAACAGGAGGAAATTCACCAAGCAGCGTCCCTTGTCCTCCGGCTGCAGAGCAGGGGCTGAGGGCGAGGGGATGGGGGAAGCCGCCCTGACTGGGGACCGCAGGCCGGGAAGGAACTGGTGTCCCGAGAGCCAGGGGGAGACACAGCGCTCCCAAGCTCAGGGCGGACCCTTCTCGCTCCCTGAGAAAGCCGCACTCTGGCAGCAGGAGACCGAGCTCCGAGTGTTAGGGGGTGTGCCAGGGCGGCAGCACCAACCACCAACGAAGGGCCGAAGGGCCGCGCGCCTCTGGAGGGCTCTTCTGCGGCCCCTGAGCGGTCGGGAGGGAAGGCCTGAGAAGGAAGACAGGCAGCCACGCCGACGGTGGGCGGACCCACCCAGCCCTGCCCAGGGCCCCGTCGGTTTCCTCTCCTAGCTGTGAGGAGGGGGGCTTTTCTGTTCTCCTTTCCTGGCGCGCTAGGGTTCTCGTTTGCTTGCTTTGGTGTTCTGAGAGAATCTCATGCTACCCAGGCTGGCCTGGAACTCGCCGAGGATGAGCTTGAACTGCTGCTAGCCTGCCTCCACCTCCCGAGGACTGAGATTAGAGAAGCACACCACGTGTTCAGCTGCAGGAGCCCCTGGTGCCTCTCCCCATGGCCCCGTCCTCCTCTCGGGGCCTCTCCCCACGGCCCCCGTCCTCCCTCAGGGCCTCTCTTGCCTCTGAGCTACTCGGAGACAGTTGTGTCTCCTGGGTCTATCGGGAACACCATCCTTTGTGTTCATTTCTTGCCTGGGCTTCTCCCCCTGGTACTCACAAAGTTCAAAATGACAACAGAAATACTCAAAACCCCAAATAAGGTAAAATTGACTGAAACCTCCCAGAAGACAGGAAAAGGAGGTTAGAGAGAGAGAGAGAGAGAGAGAGAGAGCGCTTCTATGGAGAAAAGAGCAGAAAATGCCCCACAGTCAATGCTGTGTTGATTGTCTGCTAGAGAGCATGCTGTGGTGAGCATAAAAATTAATTCCTTTTACTAGTGACACCTGCCTTGGGCAGCACAATCCCATCGCCTCCTATCTGAGGAGCGCTCCTTGTCACACCACTGTCACGCCCCTGCCACACCCAGGGATCCTGGGATCCTGGGATCCCACCACACCCCGCTCCCTCTACCGCCTGCTGCAAGCTTACCCCGCCACCTGCTCTCTGACCTCACAAAAGCCTATGGCCTCGGTGTTCACTTCCCCCACAGGCTGTTCTTTCCTCCACATTGTGTTTGTTGTCTAGTCTGTGTGGGAATGGAAGCAAGCGTGCTGAGCGCACAGTCTCCAGTCCCAGCCCTCAGCTTTGCTTTCTTTCTTTCTTTTTGATTTTTCAAGACAGGGTTTCTCCGTGTAGCTCTGGCCATCCTGGACTCGCTCTGTAGACCAGGGCTGGCCTCGAACTCACAGCAATCAGATCTGCCTCCACCCCCCTGAGTGCTGGGATTACAGGCGTGCCTTGCCTAGCCGGCTCCTCATCTTAACTCTTTTACCAACCCTCAGCCTTTTGTCCTTTAGTGTAAATATCTCACGGAAACTCCAGCTGAAGCCAGCCACGTTAGTGCGCGACGGGAATCCCAGCATTCCGGATACGAGTTCCGGGTTGGGGGTGGGGTAGAGTGGGGTGTAGGTGAGATCCATTAGCTGTCCTTCAGGCTAAGTCATGTGAGGCCAGCTGAGCGACGCTGATAGAATCTCAGGTTAGTCCAGCCCTCACTCTAATCCTCCCCTGCGGCCCAGCTGCCCAGGCTGCAGCTGTCTTTCCCAGTCACTCCCCTTACTCTCTTCACTGACGGTGCACAGCTGGGACACAGAGCGATAGTGACGGGGCCACTGTGGCACTGGCATGAGAGCAGACACCCTGACCGATGGGGTAAAACCCAATAGCTACATTTAACATGATCCCTACAGACAACTGGTTTGTTTTCTTCTTTGTTTGTTGAGACAGGGTCACTCTGTGTACCACTGGCTGTCCTAGAACTCACTCTGTAGACCAGGCTGGCCTTGAACTCAGAGATCTACGGGCCTCTGCCTCCTGAGTGCTGGGATTAAAGGAGTGAGCCACCATGTCTGACTGACAGCTGATTTTTGATAAGCAAACACACAAACACACACACACACACACACACACCGTTGAACAGATAGCATCCTCAACAAATGGTCCAAGTCAAAGTGGGCAGCTGCTCCAAGAAGAATGAAAACAGAGCCGTATCTGTTGTCCTGCACAAGACTTAACTCCAAACAGGTCACAGCCCTCAGCGCAAGGCCAGACACCCTGACACTGACAGAACACAAAGTGGGAATGAACAGGCTTGAGCTCAAGAAAGGCCTTTCTGAACAGGGCAGCAGTACCGAAGGCTTTAAGATCAACAGTTGATAACTGGGACCTCATTAAGATAAGAAGCTTCCATACAGCAAGCGACGCCATCATTGAGCAAAGCACGCACCTACGGAAAGCCCGTCAGGTGGGCGCGGCCTCTGCTCCCTGTTGTGAGCGGACCTGCTGACCATGAGGTCAGCTTCTCGGTCATGGCCTCCGAGTGCCCCTCTTTCCGCACGAATGCTCCTCGGGCTCCTGAAACCCTGTCCTCGTCAGGAGCCCCACCCTCCAGCTCTGCTCTGACCACACCTCCTCCACGTGTTAGCTCCCTACCGCTGGAATGCGGCTGAAATTCTATAATCTCAAAAGAGTAATGTTGGGCTGGAGGGACGGCTCAGAGGTTGAGAGCACTGGCTGCTCCTCCAGAGGTCCTGAGTTCAATTCCCAGCACCCACGATGGCTCACAGCCATCTATAGTGAGATCTGGCGCCCTCTGCTGGCGAGCAGGCACACATGCAGGCAGAATGCTGTATATATACTGTATACATATAAATAAATAAATAAATAAATAAATAAATCTTTAAAAAATAACATAATGGAAACAGCCTTCCCTCTCCTACAGGTACTGCCCTCTTCAGAGCCTGCCTCTTTAAGAAAGTGTTCTGGAAGGGCCCCTTCGCTCTGCTTCTTCTCCATCTTCTAGTCCCAAGGGCAGGCCTGCCACTCCCAGCTTCCCCTCTCTCCCAGGACTCACCCCTGCTCTCAGATGACTCACCGCAGCTGCATCCACAGAGACCCGTGGCTCCTGGGCCTCACCTCCCTGACCTCTGCGTAGGCTTTTGGAAAATGGACAGCTGTTCTGCCTGCGTGTGTCTACATATCACATCTGGAGGCCAGAAGAGGGTGTGGGATCCCACAATTACAGTTGTGAGACATGAGCGCCGGGAACTGAACCCAGGTCCTTCCCAGCCCGCGCTCTGAACCACGGGACCCTTTCTCCAGCTCCTCTGTAGGTTTTATATCACATGCTCCGCTCTCCTTGGACCCACGCTTCCCCGAGCTCTCCCTGGGGCCTCTGTAAAGTTGGAATTGTCCTCTACAGTCTTGGGAGTCATTTCACTAGAGTACAGCAAAGAATCTGCTGCCAGCCGGGCGTGGTGGCGCACACCTGTGGTCCCAGCACTCCAGGAGGCAGAGGCAGGGGGATGGATAGGAACTAGAGGGCAGCCTGGCCTACAAAGCGAGTCCAGGACAGCCGAGGCTCCCAGGGAAACCCTGTCTCAGGACAAACAAGCAAGAAAGACTCCGTTCCTCTGCAGCCCCCTTAAATGGAGACTCCTGAAGGCTCTTCCTTTTGGGGTCTGTGAAGAAGGGAGGGTGAACACCCCACTCCCATGCCCTCAGCTGCCTCTGAAAGAAGCTGACCAGTCCCCAGAGCCACCAGCTGAGCGCTAGACCACACAGCTGTCCCACACACCCGAGGTGTCACTCAAACTCAGGGCTCCTGCCCAGCAGAGAGCGCCCCCGCACGGAAGAGGACCGCCCCAGCACACAGACGCATCACACAGGACAGCCCACGGGGGAAAGCACGGCCCACATCTACACATGGACCAAAGACCACGTGCGTGTCTCCCCGAAGCCTCGCTTTCCAGCGCCTCAAACACCGCCAGCTTCCATTGTTTTTGTGAAGCGAAACTCAGAAATCCAGTTCTGTCCAAGGACTGTGTAACTCCAACAACATGCCGAATGGCAAGGGAATTTGCCTAACACTAGGAAGACACACTTCATCGAAAAGACGGAGCCACAGCTGTCACTGTGTGTGACCTCACACGGCTACATGTCCTGACTTTTCTGGAACGGCCAACAAAGTCGGTTCCTTTTGTTTTAAGACAAGCTCTTGCTATGTAGCTCTGGCTGTCCTGGCTCTCACCATGAAGACAGCCTGGCCTTGATCTCACAGAAATAAGCCTGCCTCTGCCTCCTAAGTGCTGGGATGAAAGGCATAGGACAGCATGCTCAGCTCAGAAAGCTTCCTAGACAAACACCTGACTTCTGCCTCTGCCCCAGCCCTTCCTGGATGGCCTAAGATGCCCTCTCCCCACTGAGACGCAGTAGAGCATGTGGGTGCTTCCTGTAGCTATTTGCTAAACTGAACATTCACATTTTGAGCCTCTCTGTGTGGATGATCTATTTTATAATAAAAATATTTTTAGGGCAGAAGAGATGACTCAGTGGCTAAGAGAACTAGCTAGCTGTCTTCCAGAGGACCCAGGTTCAATTCCAAGCACCCACATGGCAGCTAACAGCCCTCCGTAACTACAGTTCCAGGGGATCTCATATCTTCTTCTGACTTCAAGCACATACATACAAACACTTATACACACACATTAATAATTTAAGACAGGTGCTGGTGCACACCTTTAATCTCAGCACTCGGGAGGCAGAGGCAGATGGATCTC